TATGATGATATTTATTTTTTCCACTTCCACCTTGAGGTACATATATTTTTTAAGCGTTTTATATTTATTTTACAAAGGTTCATTGACTTATAATGTTGTTTCAGTTTTTGGTTATGAATCGTTCATTCTTTTACATGTTTATTAAGTTGGAGAGCAGGTTTTGACACAGCAATAGCTAAGTTTATTAGTTACTAAATGTTCATATGTTTAAAGAGACATTAGGTATTTTTTGAAAGCAGGCAAGATGAAAAATGAGCAAACGCCTTCGCCGGGAATCGAACCACGGACCTTTGGAATACCGGCCTATCGTGCAGAACCACTACACAACGAAGGCACTCTAAGAAGGCGGGAGAAAATACCTTATAGGTTCATTTTTTAACTGCATAGATAGGTTATGTTATAAACTGTTGATAAATAATACACTGATTTTTATCCGTTTATTATGATTTCAAAAGGTTTAAGCATTGTAATTACTTAACGAGGGAAAATTTCGTGTATAAGCAAATATTTTTTAAGAAACTTGTGAAAGATTTATCCTGTAACCCTCTCCTTTTTCTCAATATTTGAGTCAGAAGAATTCATTCATGTAAAATACTTTGATTTGAATACTTATTTAACGCATTCATTCATTGTTCATGTCGATTACCATGTTAAAACATGAATCTTAGTTTTTTGCTGTTTTCACCTAAATGCATTGAGCAGTTCTTCAGCGTTTGGCTCGTGTCGAAATAAAAAGATGTATTATAAGTTAGAAAAAAAAAATGAGCTTTTCTTTCGCATGAATTAAAGAAAGCTGCATACATTTTAAAGGGAGTCTTTGCACCGCGTTTTGGCTTCGGTAAAATAGTTTTGCTTTTTGAAGTGTAATGTAACATGACCTTATCATATTTGCATAACTAACTTATACTTAAATATTGTGATAGCAGTGTCCCTATCGTGTGTTGTACGCCGTGAATTCGAGGCAGCCCAGCAAGCAACTCGTATATGGGAAGGCGACTACATCTACCAGGGAATGCTGATGACCTAGCCTCACAATTGGAGAAAATTTGGCAAGAAATACCACATAGGAGACCATCCGGGATCTTTGTCAGTCTATGCCACGCAGTATGGCAGCTTACACCCAGGCAAGATATGGGTCAACATCTTACTGAGCTCGTTACTTTGTAACTATGTAAATCTGAAATAAATCATTCAATTGTTGTGAAATTTTAATCATTTTCTGTTTTGTACATAAAAGTCCTATCCAGCAATTTTTGTCTCTATCGGACAACTTCTTGGTGCGTCGATTTTTTTTTTTTTTTTTTTTTTTGTTATAGAGTGTAAAATCTGAAAATTTCCAGATTTTTTTCTTTTCAGATTTTTCCAGTTTTTAATTTTTAATAACGATATTTTGAGGTTTTATATATTTTTGCCTTTCCGCGAAGTGGGAACTGAATTGATTGAATGAGAAATATATCTCTAATGAAATCCGAGGAATTGAGTTTAACCCGGCGGAAGTCGCAACAAGAAAAATTACTAGAGCGGGCGCGTGGGTTATCACATACCCCAATATTTAAAATACGATAAAAAATAGTTTTATTTAGTTTTAAAGTTGTTTTTCTTGTTCTTGTGTATTATAAATACGTGAATAATAATTGGGTTTCCAAAACTTAATTTCCAAAATAATCTTAGAGTTAAGATTAATAAAAAATAAACATCATGTCTCTAAGTTTCATTGCATCTCTAATACACAATGCTTATTTTATTTCTTCACAGTTTGAACGAAATACATTCATGTATTCTTGGCACAGAATGTTTTCACATTTTAAACATTGCATTCACGTTCTTCTGTCCTTGGCGCGAGGGCAATTTATCACACCTTTCATACTTAATTATTTCGAATTTCATGTATTCGTTTTAATTCTTCGTCGAAAGTTCTGCTTTTGTTTTGCATGCAGTACGTCAGTTTCTTGCTAAAGTATTAATCTTTGATTCTTTGTTCAATACTTTTTTTCATTAATTGTAATGCCAAGTCCTTCAAAAACAGACTTCTGTTTCTGGTTGTTGGATTAGCGGTTGAATGTAATATAATTCAAGCATTTATTGCAGCAACCTTCAATGCAGGAAAGAAATTACCATTGGCCACCTCCTTGTTATTCTGGCAATTGAATAACTGGCTGACATTTCATCCTCCATATCCACTGCTCCTTTAGTCATATTATAAAAACATATAATTCCTGATGTTTTATATTCTCCAATAGTATCATCTATAGTATGATAGTTATATAATATTATATAATCGTTATATAAGCATAAGAACAGTTTTTCCTTTTTTTAGCAACATTAGGAATTAATGTTTTATCTTATCGAAACCAAAACAGTGTAGAAAATATTCCTAGTTTCATCTTCAGTTTCCGAAATGCAATCTTCATCGCTTTCAAATATTTGTAGTAAATCTCACAGGCGTTACATCTCCAATTCATAGGGAGTCATTCTTTTTATCATAATGCAGTTAGAAATTTTTAAGAATTTAATATCAAGTACTTTAAAATCACTTGCGAGTAGAAAATATTTACTGTTACACCTCTAGAAATAAATTTCTGAACTAAATATTCAGTCAGAAAAAAATACTTACGCGACAGGCGCATGGGGTGTGTCATACCCCAGGTTCCAACAAAATACCGATAAATCTTTTTCTGAAACACGCAGGCAAAGAAAAAGCGGTTCTAAACGTCAACCACGACTAGAAACTCAGCTACTGAATACAGCACAGAATTTCAGTTTCACAAGTTACGAATATTCCACTTTTATGTAGGGTTGGGATATGATACACCCCACGCGCTTTCCCGCGGGTTAAAGGAAATTCAACAAAAATACGTATAAAGTACAAGGGAGTCATGTGGTGTACACATCAAATTTTTTTACTTCCTTGTACGAAGTAAAGTAGTATTGCAATTGCGAAAATTTTCAGTTGTCATATCTCAACGCAAATATCCATTTTGACCGCTATCTAGTGCAATTAACGATGTTTTTGCGTGGCATCTGTACGTAAGGACAGATAAAAGGACTTTTTTCCCATAACGGGTTGCAAAAAGGATTTAATATGAAATCAACAGATTTTTTTTCATAACGTCTGTACGTACATACGTAAGTACGCATGTATGTATCTCGCATAACTCAAAAACGAGTAGTCTCAGAACATTGAAATTTTGTATATAGCACTGCTATAACATGTAGTTGTGCATCTCCTTTTTTGGTTGCAATCGACTGCACCAAAAGTATATAAACGCATATATATGTTATATGTACATAACCACTCTGTTATTCCGGTTCAATGAGCTCAGTTTTTTTTTTATTCATATATGTTGGTAAATTGTGCATTTTTTGCTTTAAAAATGATTGAATTATGTTTTTCCTGTGTTTCATTTAAGGTTTTATGCCTTTAGTTAATCTGCATGCAATAGTTTAGAATTATCAACATTTTAAAAGCTGTTTAAGTGCGGCTTTTTTTACCCTAGCAACCGTATGTGTTTACATTTGAAATGAATTAAGTCCCGTTTCCGCAACTTTTGTGTCTTTTTTTCGAATGGGACCAAAAGTGAACTTTCAGTTTTGTGCACCGAAAACTCTGCCTTTTTGTCCGCTGGCCGAATTGCTTGTTTTTGCATAGAAACGCTGATTTTAATTGTAAAAATAATTTCTTAATTGTTTTAACTGTATTTGTTGTTTGATATTTTTTCTATATTTTTACATTTTTAACGAAGATATTTTGAGGTTTTGTATATTTTCGCGTTTCCGCGAATTGAGAACTGAATTAGTTGAATGAGAAATATATCTCTAATGTAATTCGAGGATATAAGTTTAAATGAAATGCAGCAAAAAGTGCGTATAGTTTAATATTCCGTACAAGGAAGTATAAGGTATGCGTACTCTCTAATCATCAATTTTGATAAAATTTTTCAAAAATCATTCATTATTTTATTTTGAAGCTTATGCTTTAAGCTTCCTAAAACTACTTTGTTTCGTCTTCCCGATCGTTAGAAACAAAATTCTGGCTATTCTTGTTCTACGCCGTGAACCGGAAGTTTCTGTTCAAGAACCCGAATGCTGATATCTAAATTTACGTATTCATTTCAACTATCATTGAGATTTTTCATTTGAATACCTTTGGTGATGTTCAGAAGATGATACTGAACCTTTTGATTTATTATTAATTGCTCAGGAACAAGATAAGTTTTGTAATTTAATTTTCATACTTGGAAACATTTTCTTTTCCTTCTGTTTGTGTTTGCATTACTTTAAACCTATTTTTTGAAAAACTTGATTTTTTTTTTTCAATTTATCTGTTAAAAAAAAAGCTCTGACTTAAAATATTACTATAGTAATTTTATGAAAATTTTCCGCAGATGTTCTAAGAAATGTGAATTAAATTAAACCTAAAAGTTTAGGTTTATGTACATATCTAAATTTTTTTCAGACAATTTTGTAAATGAGAAGAGAGAAATTACTCGAAACATAGCTAGTGCATGTACTCAAACAGGTATATTTAATAGACATTTTATTTTATCACTTAGATTTAGTCCACGTAATTCCTTAATACATATAAGTGACAAATATAAAAGTAAAATATTGATAAATATTTTAGTGGAACATATCTAGCAATCCTGAAATTGACGCATTCTTTTAAGCACAAGGTATAAGATAAAACCAAAAATTATACTTTGATAATATATAATATATTTATCACATGTTTTTATCATTTTAACTAGTATTCTGCTAAATAACACCAATACTATATTTATTTGTACTGTTTTACAAAACTTGAATGTCAAACGCAGCTGGATATCTTAAGATCACTTTTCGACTCTCCCGTTCATAAGGGTGTATACGAGCCAGTTTTTCCCTTAGAAAGTCCTCCACGAAGGCATCTCCCCTTGAGCAAATAGCCCTGGTGTGCTTTGCCATAATTAAATACACACCGTTCATAAAGAACGATAAAAAATAAAAACAGAACAAGGTAGTATTGGTCATAATTTTCTTTTATTTCATGTTATAATAGCAAGAAAAGGAAGCAAAGACAAAATCTGCATCAGTTATGTAACAGGTCTATTAAAAAAGCTCTTATATTTGGAATTTGAAAAGGTTAAGAATAATAATTTATTTATACACAAAGCCACCATGTGTCTATGAACGACGTCCCTTCAATCAACGCCAAAGCTCTCCTTCATTTGAAAGACAAATGTATGATGGATTTTTTTAAAAGTTCAATTATGCGATTCAACACGTTATTTACAATTCCGTTAACGTCTTTTACCGTAATGCAAAGCTATATCACACAAACAGTTCCAATAATCTTCTTAAGATGCAACAGTCAAAGAGGTTGAAATTGAATTTAAAGTAGAAAAGTAGCTGATTTTGTTTAAAACTGAATTGTTTTTTAGGAATCACTTGATTGGGCTTAACTTCACAGTTGTTCAAAATCGTACGTAAATTGGTAAAAGCTTGATAGAATATATATGAAGTTTTGTTAGCTCTGTTGATTGAAACCCCCAATGTTTTCCCCTAGTAAAAGACGATCGTGAAAAGATTGTGGAATTTATGAAGCTTATTTTTCAACCAAGATATCTGTAGCTACAGACAACTATGGAATGTACATTTAAAAGAAGAGATTTTCTAAAAACCTACGAAATGCGTGAAATTTCTTTAGGCTAAATAAACTGTCACGTTTCTTTCTATAACAAATATTTTAGTTTTATATTGTTAGTGTGAGAAACCTTTTCACCTTTTAGTGAAATGAAACCAATGTTGCCAACTTTTACCTAAAAACTTGGCTACCTAATTTCTCACATCTTGTCAAATGTTATACTTGAATATGAGGCGTTGATTCACAGCATTTCTGTGTTGAACATGCTTATAAATAAGTTTAATATAATTAAAATAATCAGTTTGTATTGTTCATTAGACAGAATTGAATTTTCACCTGAATGTCATTTAGAATTATTTTAAAATTATGTGCAAGGAATTAAGTTCAATTTGTAATATTTCAAATTCTATGCGTTCTTTTTGTTACAGGGAAATAAATTTTATGAATTTTTAACAAATATTTATATTAAGATTAAACAGAATACACAAAGTAGCTTAAAAATAATAATGCCTTATATCTTTTTAGCTAATGTACGAGTAACAGAACATGAAAGAATGTTATTTTTGATCGTCTGCTAATTACTGAAATAATTTTATTGATTCTGAGATAAATGTAAAGACATGGAAACATTAGTTAAGCAAATGTTAAATAAATTTTATTTGTTTACCATTAGCTGCTTAACACTAATTATTGATCGAATATTATTCTTTCTGAAGTACTTGAATATATATGTATCATTATAAAATCAACCAAACATATACTGAATGAATATCTTAATATCTGCTGTGGTATATTCCGAGATGTGGATTGTTTGATTAAAAGGTAGATTCCTAAATATCTTTGCCATTTTAAGAGATAAATTACAGTACTTGAGTAAAAAAGAAATGCTAGTAAATTGTTTATATGCATATTTTTTGAATTGCTAAAATATGAAATAAATTAAGCAAAAGTTATTTTGCACAAATACACAGGAACAAACAACAAAAAAATTCATTAATTTTTGTCTTTGCTACTACTTATTGTTTTATCATAATCTTATGCTTCAGATACAGCACAAGCATTAGCTAACAGAATATTGTACATGAATTGAATTGTAGTTATAGAACGAATATGCATCTTTCTTTGTATGTAAAATTATGTCAGTTCTAAAGATTTATAAGTGTGAAAATTCAAAGGTTAATAAAAGCTTTCTTTAATAATATATAATATAAATATTTTTAAACATACATAAAAAATTTTTCGAATTTCATAAACGATCTTCTGCTACTGCTTCATTTTAGTAGATGGCGCTACCTGTTTATTTTCTTTTCGCTGTAAAAGAGGTTTTACGGTACCTTTTACCGAAGCTCTTTCTCTCAACGGTAGGCTAATTCTTTGTTAGCAGAAAGTGAGTATTGTGTAACTTTAAAAAAAAAAAAAAAAAAAAAAATGTTCAGCGTCTTATCATATTGACACTGTTAATACTATTATAATTGATTTATTAAAAAAATGAGATTTAATATTCCTAAGCATGCATACAAAGAATTTTTAATACGTAATACATTAATTTCGGTTTTTTAGTTATGCATTACTCATGTTAAAATTTGCATAATACTGCAATTAAAAAAGATTTTAGAATCTTGAAAACATGTTAAAGTTTTCTTTCTTAAAGAAAGTAATGATTTCTACTGAAAATTCCATCGGAAATTGTAGTAGGTGTCGACTGGAAATCGAACCGGAGTTACCCGCATTCAAAGAAAAGAGTAGCGTAATTTGCACTTGAAGTATGATTTGATTTTAAATTAAAGAATTAATCATATTTACATTTGTATTTAAAAAATACAGAAACGCATTTTTGACTTCAAATGTTTGCAATTACAATAAAAAATGAATTCAAAAAATTAATTAAGGAAAAGAGGAATAAAAATTTTAATTCCCATTCGGAATTAATTCTTCAAAAATCCATAAACATGCTGCTAAAAGTACAGACTAGTTTTACTAATTAAATATTATTTGTACGAACAATAAAAATAAAAAGTAACATAATAAAACTTTAATATTTCAAAGCTATACAATAATATTCAGTGGAATGTTGTTAGAATGTTGACTCATTTTGTGATTGTAAACGTATTTGCGTTGCTACGCCACCAACATACCAGTAAGAAATGTAAAGAAACTTCGCGTATAAAATATCCGTGCTTGAAAGATGCACGCGCTTAGAGACGTTTTTCAGTTATTCTGTAAATTTGACTAATAAAGTTGGTTGTTCGATCAAAATGGCAATCGTGTCATAAAGTTTTAAAGAAATATCGTCCTAACGAATTTATTCTAGGTACAAAACTTAAAGATTCTGTCACTGAAAGATATTACGTCATCAAAAAAAGAATCTGTCTTATTTGATTCTTTTCTTAAACTGGAAATAGATGGTTCCTATTAGTAGTTAAAGAAATCAACTAGCTTCGATATGTTTTGAAATGCACTGTTTATCATAACTGGTTGAAATAGGTTAATTTTTCATCATTGATCAAGATTTAACTAACTGTTAAAATATTTATACAGCAGATCAACGTGATGAAAAACAACTTTGATTACCGCTAAAATTTATCCTTTGTTTGAAGAACTTGGAAAAAAAAAAAAAAAGAATCATAATGCATTTAGAGCAAAAATAACAAGATCACTGGTCTTCAAGGGATGATAAGTGTATAAAATTTACTTGCATAAAATAATTTTGTTCCAGAAGAGACAGCAGCTCTGCCGTTGCTTCCCAAAACGTGCTACAAGTATAAGTTTGAAATCGAAGCCCAATAAAAACTGCGTTTTGCGAATATTTAGTTTTAAATATAGAACAGTTCTGTTTTCCTTTAACGTTAAACAGCAAGAAACGTATAATAGTTAAAATTGACTAATCTATAATTTAGGTTAAATAACACACCGAATAATGATTATTGGATAAATGAAACAACAAGAATCAGCATTATATTTGTAAATTTTGCAGGACTAGTTTCGATGGTTTTACTACAGAATCATCTTCCTCAAAAGGTTTGCACTTTGGCAGCTGAGGAGGTGGGTTCTGTAGTCAAACCATCGAAACTAGTCCTGGAAAATTTACAAATATACTTTTGATTCTTGTTGTCTGACTTCTACAATAATGATTAAGCTGTGTTTTTTATTACTTCCAAAAGATCGCTTTCCCTCAAAGTTCTCTTTCCCTTCATTAAAAAAAAAAATTAAATACTTTTTTGGCATTTATTTGGAATGGAAGAATGAGACTTTTAGGACATACAAAACAAAAATTCATTCAAATTTAAGTATTAAACGATAATGCGAAGTTTATCGTTTAATACTATGTTAATACTTTATGTTAATACTTCGTTAGTATATATTTCGTACAGAAAGAGTTTGATGAAAATTCAAAGGTGGAAAAAATTTATTTAATGCTTAGAATATATATATATATATATATTATATATAGGAATTTATCTGCGATAATATGTACATGTATATGTGCATATGTATAAAATTTACATGTATGTATGAGAAAGTATGTATGATACATGTATGTTTTACTATACAATATGATTTCTGATGAAGTATTAGAGAGGCGTGATTAAACAGAGTAAAGTTTCCTGTGTAATCTCTGTATTTTACTTAAATTTCTGATTTAGAAAGTAAAGTAAGCACTTATTGGGGGTAAATATTTGTATTCCTCGATTACATGAGCAAAAACTGAAAATTTTTATTTTTAAAATCACAAACTAAAATTGACTATTGAATAATCACGTACATGTTTACTTTAAACCATTGCAATGGACGCTAACATGTATCTTCCATAATTCGTAAATCATGATCTTAGAGCACAATATTTCGAGAAATCCTTCCCGAACAAGCTTTTAAAAGGTTACCTATTTTTAAATATTTTTCTTTGTGATAAAAAAAGCTCTGTTTGAGCATTTCAATAGTAATTTCTTAAATTATCTGTTAGTAAGTTGGCAACATGGCATTTATATTATGGATTCTCTATTCCTTTCAAAATCATCCCCACTCCCGCTACTCGTTGACATAGGACCTACTGTTCCAGGAGGTCCCCCTGTGGAACAGATGTGGAGTTCTATTTCTGCTAACCTGTTTTGTACCTCCCACTGTTGCTGACTTAATTTCAAGCTCATGGATGCATTATCTGCCTCCAGAGTCACTAAACGCTCTCGTAGTCTTTTAATCTCGGCAAGCAGTGCTTCTTGTGAGGGCTCTGGAGGTATCCTGCCCCCAAATGGAAATTGGACGCTGTTCTTGTCCAATATAAAAGGACTATCTGTTGTGTTCTGGTAGGGCGAAACTGGCCTGGTGTTGGTGGATCCAGAGTGAAGGGACAAATAGGATGGAGCAGGTCTTATGCCACTGCCTTTTGGAGCGGGAAGGCGCTGAGTGTTGTTGGGTCCCAAAGGGTACTGCCCTACTGAGAGTCTTCTTGGTCCTTTTTGGTTCTCCACTGATTGCTGAGCTGAAAGGTGCAAGGATTCCATAGGAATCCCACCCGTGATGTCCCCGTAGTGGGTATTGCTGCTGCTCGAACTCCTGTGCTCGGTGTCATGGTGAGAGGATGGAGTTCCGTTCACCGCCGCATCATCAAAAAGTGTCCCTGCCGAAAAATTTGGATCCGCAGCTGTTTTTCCTGTACCAACCACCATATCTTCAAGGCGCACTTTCCCTCTTGATTCTACAAGACCTGGAGTACTACGACAGCGACCCATTGCGACTGAAAGAAAAAAAATATTAAATTAAAAGTTTCTTATCGTTTATGTAATTTTATTCATAATATCTTAGCATATGATAAAATTATGAAAAGAAGCAGTAAATTAATTTGATATATCACAATAATAATATGAAAGTTAACAGAAGAATTAAATTAATATCAGGAAAATTACTTTGTGCGATATGAATTGTAAAATAAAGTAAACAAACAAGATAAAGTTAGACTCAGTCCCAAGGGGCTCAGTCAAACTTGATCTTTTTGTTTATTTTGTTGGACTGAGTTGTTTGCAATTCAGTACAAAAAAAATAAAATTAATCTTTTACAAAGGTGTATTCCTTTTTTACGCCTTGCAACGTAAAAATTTCTGCTGAATCAAATAACATTGTAAATGTCTTAGATGAAAGTGAATACCCTAAAACACTTATAAAAGGAGAGTACTTTTGTAGTGAATTTAAAATTGACTCAACAACTAAATAATTAAATTAAGTAATAATGTAGGTAACTGGGAAAATAATTGACGTAATTTAGTAACAGAAATAACTTAAAAAATTAATAAACTGAAGTACAATGGTAGCTCGCATCACGAATTTTTCTCATTCCTAAAGACAGCGAACCGATTGGTTCCAGAACAAATTAGCTGAATAGAAAACGTGTTAGATGACGAACCGTGTCTCGAGTTATTAACAGTAAAATCAACAAGAAATAATTTTGAAAGGTGTTTTGGGGTAACTTCAAACACCGAAACAGCAATCTGGAACTTTTAAAAACATTAATTTAATATTTCCCATTATTTAACTGTCATAAACAAGGACTGGCAGCAATATGAGGCACACAGGAACATGAGGCACACAGGAACATGAGGCATGGATTTTTTTGTTATCTATGGTATTTGTCTCTGTTCACAACCATGGGCTTAGACGTAGAAGAGTTACTAGAGGCCATAAAAATGAGTTCAAGAAGAAGAATTGGAATAAAGCTGCTAGAAGGTTGTGAGAGAAATGTCTTCAGAGGTAGGAAAGGAGACGAAAAGAACTTGGTACTTTGACCCGCAAAATTTAGGCAGATTGGGATAAAGTACAAAGCTTCGTTCAACGATATCACTCTAATAAAGCTGTAACAAGTTGCAGAATAAGCATTTTAGGAAACGTTTTTTAACGTCTTTCTTGATAAACATTATAAAACATGGACAAAAACAAATCACACTGAACTATTTTTGTGTGGAATAGAGGCCAAGTGAGTCTGAAGCAAGGTTGAAAGGCGTTTTAACGGACAAAGAAGGAAAAAACAGGAAGCCTCAAAAGGGCAGTTACATGATATTTCTATGCAGTTCATTCCAACAATAACATCTCTTCTTTTTCCCTGCTTCATCACTTTCCACTTAACTTTTTCCTTTTTTCCTTCGTACGGTACGGTAAAATTAAATTTACGTCTATTTTACCTATTTAATATAATGTTTACATTTTTTTGTCCTATATTGCATTGGTTTTTTTATTAAGAACTTCGCGCAATGTAGCGTTGTAAATTTTAAATGAGCAATCATGTCTGTTCCGGGAACAGATTACACCTACGAACATGGCCCTGTTGTTGCTGTTATTTTTATTGTAATTTTCTTTTAAAAAGAATTTCTGATAAAAAGATTCTTTTTATTATTAATAATTGCAAAATACTTAAATATTAAAGCAACTCCAACCACAGTTCGAGATAGTTTTGGTTTTTTGAGGAGGTTGTCGTCTTAGAGAGGTGATATTCAATACTGATATTTATTTACATTCTTAGAAATGCGTGGCATTGCGATTTGACTGCATAGCCTGATATTTGCTTGAACGAAGAAACTGTTCATATATGTTTATATGGAAAATTAATTTTTCAATTCATTAAATGTAAAGCTCTTATGAAGAAAACTTATGACACGCATAGACAAAAATCTATTTCCTGCCTGCGAAATTTCCATTAAAAGCATATTTCAAAATTTGCTTTTAATAAAAGTTTAATTAAAGCTATTAATTTTAAGTATTTTTACATATAACTCTAAGATTTTATCGTTTTGATAGAAATACGGTTAACTGTAGACTCGGATATACTTTATCTTTTTAACAAGCGTAATAACTGTTTTACCAAATTGCCAATAGATGGCGGTAGGCGCATTCAGCTTTTCTACTCCAGCAACTAGTCAAAGCAAAGCAATATTTCTCTTCGTCAATTTTAATGCACGCTAAAGCCAAAATATTAATAATAACAAATAACTACATAAAAACAGTACGAAATTGCAGTACGAAAATTGAAAATTACAGTCTAACACCTCAAAAAACAGTTTACCATTAATAACATAAAAAATTTAAAAAAAAATTAACATGTGCGTAAAAAAATTAAGAGATGTCCTCTCTCTCTCAAAAAAAAAAAAAAAAAAAAAAAAAAAGTGAGGACAGAAATATTTCATTTATAATTTCTAGTTTCCAATTCATACAGTTAAATCAAATAATAAATATGAATAAAATTAAAACAAATTTTGAATTTGCCCTACGCTTGTGCATTTCGTTTTTGAACAAAACTTTTTAAGAGAAAAATATCAAAATATTTAAAGAGTGTTAATAAAAATATTCGTATTTTTCACTTCACTATTAAATCGTACTTTAAAAAATATTTGGGGTATAAAATAGAATTTATTGCAAAATATTGTTAAGACATCCAAGTAAAATGACATTTGAATAATCAATGTTCCCTGAGCAACAAAACATACGTCTTATAATGAATGAAATATATAATTATTCTGAATGAATGAAATGCTTATGCATCGTAGTTTGCCATCGCAGTTTGGCAAAGTTTATTTAGACAGGATTTATCTTTTGCTAGTGCCAAACATTCTACATGCCCATATGCATTTCTCACCAGCAAAATTGCTGCACTAACAATATTTAGTAAATTTTGCACTAACAAATTTTTCATTAGGAAATTTTGCATTAGCAAAATGTGTATATGTAAATACACAATGCATGCAGATGTACGTAAAATAAACAAACGTAAACAATCGTAAAACTTAAAACGTAAAACAATCAATGTAATGTTAATGTAAAACAAAATTTTAAAATAATGCAAAACAAAATGTATGCATATAAACATTTTGCACTAGCAAAAGTAAACATTTTATATTTACGTTTGCTAGTGGAAGACATTTTACATGCATTTTAATGAATGCTTCTGAATTTTCTCTAAAGCTACTCTTAAACTACTCAACTATGTTTACAGTTTAATCTCTAGCAGTATTATCCGGTGCGAATTTTCACAAATTCGCTATATTTGACAAAACGTGTGCTATTAAAGTTTATGTCTATGCGATTGCGGAAATTTTCTGCTACTCCATCATATTCTTATGCTACGTTTAAAACGTTTTTAATATACCATGGAATTCGTATATGTTAAAATAATGTATCGATTGAATTTAATTTATATGTGTGAAATGAGGGCACATAAAATTAATTTAATGAAGTACAGTATTTCTTCAAAAAATAAATAAAATTTTATGTTTTAAGACGGGTGTTTGTCTTAGTGTGTGTTGATACATATAATCTAAACTAAACCAAGTCAACATTTTATAATCTTAGAAGTGAATATTTGTTCATAATGGAAATTAGTAATCTTATTTTATCTACAAAAATTTAAGACATTATTCTATATACTTTTTATATACTTAAAATTTCATACAAAAATTCAGCAGTAAGTTCCGAGGATTACTTTTACTTATTTCTTTAGTATATTCGTCAATAACCTTTCTCTTTTCCATGCTAATAATTTAAGTTTATCTATACAGCTTGATTTTTATCTGATGTGAACGCCACATGACTTCCTTGTTTGGCCAATTAAATTATACACATTTTTTGCTGCACTTCATTTAAACTTATTTCCTCGAATTATTCTAATTTAATTAACTGATTTCTCAATGCAAGTTGAAAATGGCATCAAATTAATCATGTGTTAAAATGACACCAAATGACACCAACAACGACAACAAAATTTGCAAATTTTGACATTAAATATTCTGGACAATTCTTGTCATACGGGACACAAATTTCTTATAACTTTTTTATTTATTTATTTATTTTTGGAATGAGTGTAAAACTTTCCCAGATATAAATATAGGGACAGAGAAACGGCATTAAAAGTTATATTTCTTTATTTGTCCTTTTTTTTTCTTTTGACATTGTCAAAACATGACTATTTTCGTCATTTAAAACAAGTCTATAACTGGAAGCATGTGATTGCAACCAACAATTGTTAAAATAAAGGTAGAGTAAGGACTTTTAAGCCAAATAAAGGGATGGATCTATCTTTATGTATATATATATACAGGGTGTCCAGAACCACTAGGTTCATAATTTGTATACTTCCGTGGCCGAGACTAATTAGATGCAGATCCTAGCCAGTAGCTTTGCAGAATCAAGTTGATTTTTCTAGATGCTAGTCAAGTTGCATATTCCTTTGCATGTTGTCAGGAACATAATTTGAACTAAAATTTTACATTAGACTTCTTATTGCCTAATCTAGGTTTGGCATCATAAGTGTTGATACTTCTGCGGCTTGAGCTCACGTCAACTCTAACTAGACCTCATCTGTGTTCCTTCATAAGGAATGAAAAGAAGCAGGATGATTTCAATGTTTAACTTTGTATAAACTCATCCGTGACTTTAGCCAGAATAATAAACCAATGTCTGTAGCCAGTTTTATTGAAAACAGAGCAAAGGAAATTAAAAAAATCACCAAATTAGAGCAATAATCAAGTGCTTGGAAATATGAATATTGAAGGTTTCTAGCCAAAAGGTTGCCTTGCAAAACACCTTGAAATTCTGATGGCGAGAGAGTCCTGAACAGCTGCACGATGATCCATAAAACTGGTTTTCGAATATCCTTGCTCCTAAATTAGAGGAACTTGAACTACGGAATATTAATCTCTGCATGAAGAACATTGAAACATATCTGATGAGAGTTCATCTATATATAATATCGATTTT